AACAAGATATATAAATATTTTATTCAGCTTTTTCACTGTTGTGACTAAAAGACCTGACTAGAACAATCATACAAGAGGAAAAGTTTATTTGGGGGCTCACATTTTCAGAGGTCTCAATCGATAGACAGTAGGCTCCATTCCTTAGGGCTCAAGGTGAGGCTGAACATCATGGCGGAAGAGTGTGATGGAGGGAAGCAGCTCACTGATGATCAGGCATCAGCAGAGAGATAGACTCCACTTGCCAGATATAACTATATATCCCAAAGGCATGCTCCCAGTGACCCACCTCCTCCAGCCACAACCTCCCTGTCTTCAGTTACCACTTACTTAAAACCATTAGGATTAATTCACTGATTAGGTTAAGGCTCTCATAACCCAGCATTTCTCCTCTAAACCTTCTTGCGTTGTCTCATCCATGAGCTTTTTGGGGATACCTTACATCCAAATCATAACATTAAGTAAATTATATAATAGGGCCATAAGAGCTATGGAGGAACTGTGAGTCGGGTAAAGTGGACAGAGTGGATACACTTCTAAACAACAATGAGGGACACCTTACCAAGAAGGTGACATTGGAGCCAAAACCGGAAGGATGGAGGGAGAGGGTCCTGTGGGCATCTGAACCAAGAATGTTCTCAGCAGAGAGAACAGCAAATGCAAAAGCCCTAGCATGGGTGAGGAAGACCGAGGAAGCCAGTGTGGCTGGAATGGAGAGTGTGTGTATATTGTGGGAACAGCCAGAGATGAGAGGGGAGCTGATCAGTTGGTGCCTGTGGCCCTGGGGAGGACTCTTAACTCATACTGGGGGTGGGATGGGAGCCACAGGAAGCTTCTGAGCAGAGCAGGGACTGGAGCCGATTCATAGATTCACAGGGTCACTCTGGCTGCAGGTAGGGAAGGGCACAGACATCATTGAGGGGGCTGGGCTGCTGCTAATCTGAGGTAAGAGTGGATGGTGGACAGGTTGTTGAGAAGTAGATAGGTTCTTTTTCCTTGCTAGTCTTCTCCAGTCTTGTCTCCACCCACCTCCTTTTCTCTTTCTCTCTTTCTCTTTTTGGTTACGAGATTGAGCCCAGCACCTCGTGCATTCTAGGCAAGTGCTCTACCACTGAGCTGTATCCCTATATCCATCCCCAACCCTTTATTTTACTTTGAGCCAGAGTCTTGCTGAGTGCCCCAGGCTGGACTTGAATTCATGATCCTCCTTCCTCAGCCTCCTGAATCACTGGGATTACAGTCAGTGAGATTACAGGCACAGACCGCCATGCCCAGCTTGTCCCCTCTTGATGCAGCCATTGGGTCTTTCTGAAACACAATTTGTTTCCTGTTCCTCCCTGTTTAAAACTACCCATGTCTCCCAGGGTCCATTGGACACACCTGAAGCTGCTCAGCCTGGCATTTGACCCTGTGCAGGAATGGCTCCTGCCAGCCTCCCCAGCCTCACCGTGTTCCTCTCCCCACCCCTTAGCTGCTTCAGCCACATTGAATTCATTTTGTTTCTCTGACTCTTTTTTTCATGCTGTGCCCTTTGCCTGGAACACCACTCCTTCCCTTTTGCCCTGGTGAGCACCCCCCCTCTCAGAAAGCCTTGTTTCATTTTCTATGCTTGATCCAAACTCCTTGACAGGCTTGCAGTACCCTGCAGAGTTTGGTCCTGTCCCCATCTCTGTGGGTATGTGTGTGTCTTGCCAATTCTCCCCTTTGTACTTCATGCCCAGCCCCCTTCCATCTCCAGGGTGGCTGGGGGAAATGTTAGACTTTGGATCTGCTTTTTGTTTTTATTTTTGTGCTATGTGGATGGTATCAGGACCTCACACATGCTAGGTAAGTGCTCTAGCACTAAGCCCCATTTGTAGCCCTTTGAACCCACTTTGAAGGTAGAACCACTTTGTTTCCTGATGGAATGAATATGGAATTTGAGTGAGGGTGGGGGAGGGAGAGACAGAGAGGAGAGACAAGGATGAGATCTTTGGACAGTGCTATCTTATCCTTCCAGGCCTTTACCTGCTGTGCCTGGGCCTCAGTTTCCTTATCTGTAAACTTAGTCCAGGAGTTTGAGAGCAGCCTGGGCAATTAGTAACATAGTAAGACCCTATCTCAAAAAAAAAAAAAAAAAAAAAAAGACTATTTATCATAGGGCTGTTCCTTATTTTTCTTCTTATCCTTCTTAAGGAGTCTGGGCTGTGCAGAGGTGTATGGGAATATATTATTCACCTTGGGGCTTAGCATATTTTCTTTCAGGATTTGCTCTCAGTGGATCAGATGCAATAAGCAATACTTTCACAAACTTTGTTGGCAGCCATTTTATATGTTGATCTAATACAGTCACACCCACATATAAAACTCCAGCTCATGTTTGCCTGCTATCAGTATTTTTTTTAGTTGAGGTTAAACCCACATAACATAAATTTAGGCATTTCAAAGTGTACAGTTCATTGGCATTCAGTACATTCACAAGGTTGAGCAACCACCTCCTCTTGTCTAGTTGCAGAACATGTTCATTATCCTGAAAGGAAACTGCACACCCGTTAAGCAGTCATTCCCCATTCCTTTAGCCCCTGGCAACCACAATCTGCTTTCTGTTCCTATTGATCAGTATTCTTACTTCATATGATGTACTCCTATGTTTTCTACTTTATTTCTATTTGAATAAAAAATAGTAAAGTCCTACCAAATTAATTCCCCCTTACATGCAGTGCTGATATTGGAATCATCTGGAGAGCTTTAAAAGATACCGATTCCCAGGCCTTACCCCAGAGATTCTGAAGTAATTTCAGAATTTCTAGAAGCTGCTAGGTAATGTTATGAACAACCAAAGCAAAACCCACTAATCTAATATGTCTCTTAGTTTTGGAAACATTAGAATGAGGCCTAAAGCCAGGATGATCAGGGATGTTAAGGGGATACAAATACAGAAATGGGGACATGATATTTAGACACTGAAATGTCCCGTTACAGCTTTCTGATGAAAACAAACAAGGAGGTACAGGTGTCTTCAGAGAGAGAGAACTCAGAATGACCTGCAGAGGAGAAAGACACCCTTGGTGGGGGAGTGGTATGGGCCACCAGATACAGGTGGGAAGTCAGGAAGATATCCAGGAATGAGAGAGAGACAAGCTGGAGAGACCCAGGGCCTCTCTAGATCATCACACCCTTCTCTTACAGCTCACCTGTTCTCCAGGACCAGCCCTGCCCTTCCGGCTGGGGCCTAGACCCAGGCCCCAGGAGGCCGTGCCCCAACTGCCCCAGCCCTGGAGAAGCTGCCCCGCCACCTGTCCTCCTTCCCTGGCCTGGTGGGGCCTGGCTTTGGGGCAAGACTGAGCCACGGGGGAAGGGGGAACCCATACCTGCTGCTGCTTCCTCTGTCTTGGCTAACCTCTGCCCCCCACCCCCCAGCCCCTAACCATACCCCAAGAGCTCCCAAAGCCTGAGACCAGGGCCATTTGGCCCCAACTTCCTGCCTGACCCTGCTGTTGCGAGTACGTGTTATTTATTACCTGGAGGCCTGTCCCATCCCCATCCTACCCCCATAAAGCATTGTTTACACCTGTGTCTTGGCCTCTGTCATTTTGGGATGTTGGGAAGAGGTCTTGTTGGAAGAATTTTGGGTTGTGATTTTGGGAGCCATGTCTCTGGGTTGGACATGGTGTGGGATACACTGCTTGCACCATGGCTTAGATGTTCCTTGTGGAGGGAGTTTGTCATGGCATACTTTGTGATAGTGCTTGAGCATCACGTGTGTAACACTAATGTTGCTGTGATTGTGATGTGTGAGTGAGTCCTGTGTGGAGGACAGCGTCTTTGGAATGTGTGACACTGTTGCTTGTGAGTATTCTGTATCTTTGGTGATTATATAGGTGAAGTTGGTATGAGAAACCAAGGCCAAGGTAGGGGAATTGGGGCCTATGAGTGCACCCTGGGTGTGTGCCTGGTTTTATATATGAATGCCCGAGGCCTGAAAGTTGGAGGCAGTGACTCACTGTTCTGTTCCTTGCCACATGAAGTCTTGAGTGTGTTTTGGTGTGAATTTAGTTTCTCTTATACACCGTGTGTGTGTATCTGAGGACCGTGGACCTTTGTGCAACCCTGACTCATAAGCATACTTGATATGGGTGTGTATCCCCCGCCCCCCCCCCCCCCGTCCAGATGAATCATTGACACCGTCTTGTGGCCTGCCAAAGAAAGGTGTAGCCCTCTGAGGACAGTGCCAGCTGCTCTCCCACCTAGTCAGCTTTATCCAGCCTCCCTTGCCCCCCCTGGCCCCCTGCCTGAGCTCCCCAGTTGCTCTGCCAGGGCGCTGGCGGAGGGGGGTGGAGCATTCAAATGACCTTATCTGAGTACTCCTCCCGGGAGGTGTGGCCCAATATTATAAAAAAGATGGGGTTGGTTGTACCAATGTCTCCTCTGCATAGCTTTCCCAGATTTCTTTATTCCGACTTTCACAAGTGTTCCGAGAGGGCAGGGCGCAGCGGGTCATGGAAATATACATTTTGCACATCTGTTTTAGTCTACTTAAGGACGTCCCGCACTTTCCCCCTCTGATATAAAAAGTGACTTGCAAATTTACATGCATTTTCCAACTAGCTGCACAGCCATTTCTCAGTATCCCCATTCTTAGGCTGTGAGAAGGAGGTATCTGCCTATGTAAGTGAGTTATGTGCAAGTCGCTGACCGACCCAGCTGCTCCTTTTCCCGCAGTATCTCAGCTGGGAGGGGTGGGCCCTGCCATGTAAATAATTTCATTTGCATGCCCCGCCCATGACTCTGGTTTTAACAAGCACAGAAATGCCCCCTCCCTCATCCAGCCCCTCAGACTGTTACTCCTCCCAGGAGAAAGGGGCGAGGCGGAGAATGCAAATGAGTCTGGCGTCGGCGACGGGCCCACTTTTACTTTCTGGAGAGGGGTGTTCTGGATTTTTTCGCATTGCCCGGCGGAGCTTGCGCCTGCGCACGCACCGTCTCTTTCGCCGGGGCGCGGTCACGTGCCTACCGGGCGAGACGGGGGCGGAGCGTCGCGGGTGGTGGGGGCGGGGTATGGCGCGCTGTGCGGCGCTGGGCGGCTGGCACAAACGGCGGCGCCGGGGTCGGAGGAAAAAGCTCGGTGAGTAGGTCTCCGGAGAGGAACGGAGAGGAAAGGAGAAGGAGCCGGAGTCGGGGCGTCGGCGCGCGCGGGGCTTGGTGTGGGGGCGCGCGCCGGACACGCGGTGGCGAGCCCCGGCGACCTGGGGAGGGGGAGGGTGGGTGGGGGAGGAAACGCGCCCCGGGCACGTTGGGTGCCGGCCGTTGTGGGGGGGGGCGGCGGGGAATGCGTACGGGGCGGGGGAAGGGGAGGGGTACGGGGTCCGAGTGACTTCTAGGCCCTGCTTTCGTCACCCACTGCTCCCCGAAGGGCCTCAGCGCTTGCACCCAAGGGGCTTGGGAGCAGGACTCTTTTCCCTTGTCCTGTCTGTACCCGAGTGTGTACATTCTTCTCTGTCCTTGCGACTGTCGCTGTGTGGACTCTCCTTGAGGCTCCCTTCGTCCTGTCTCAGGACCTCCCTTCCGTCTGGGTGTGTGTCCGCCCCCAGCAGGCTTCCTCTTGGGCGCAGGTCGACCCCACCACCTTGTTCTGTCTGGTCGTCTTGGGCCTTCCTTCCCAGTTTCCCTCCGGTCTGTTTTTCTGCCTCCGGACTCCCCCATTTTTTTGCCTGTTGATCCCCTGAACTCTTGAGTTTATCCAGATCCCCTATTCTGTTTCCGTAGACCCCCACATTTTTGTGTCTCCGAAGCTTCCAGGCTTCTACTCCCCCCTCCACCATTCCTATTCTATCCCGGGTCCCCTCCCTCTTCTCTGATTGTGGATGCTCTTCCTCCCCCAAACCTCCCGCTGCTGTCCTCTCTGGGTCATCTACACAGACTCTCTCGCCTCTCACTGTTCTTTTCCCCAACTTGACCTCAGATTGTGGGGGGGTCTCTGTAGGCAAGTCTCCTGGCATCTTCATTAATGCCCTTAGCATTTCCACCCCTTCCCCAACCTACCTGCCTCTAACTCGTCTCACCTCCCTTTTTTCTCCCTTTCTCTCCAGCCACCCTGACGTGTCCCTTCCCAAGCCTCTAGGGACAACAGTGGACTTGGGGACCAGCGAGCACCCCCAGGGCACAAGAGGAGCCTCTGCTGCCTGTCCTGCCTCACCCTGCCCCACACCAGGCCCAGGGGCCCCCATCTGCATCAAGTGGAGGAGGAGGAGGCGGAGGAGGGTGGCACCATGGGCCCGGGCCGTGCCCTCCATGCCCGGGAGATGAAGACATTGCTGCCATGGACAGCCCGTGCCAGCCGCAGCCCCTGAGTCAGGCTCTCCCTCAGTTGCCGGGGTCTGTGTCAGAGCCCTTGGAGCCCAGCCCGGTCAGGATGGGGGTAGAGAGTTACCTGCCCTGTTCTCTGCTACCCTCTTACCACCGTCCAGGAGCGCCTGTTGAGGCCTCAGCAGGGAGTGGGCCCTCCAGAGCCACAGCCACCTCCACCACTGCCAGTCCCTTGCAGGAGGGCTTTGGTGGACATGATGGTGGTGAGCTGTGGCCGCTACAGAGTGAAGGTGCTGCGGCGCTGGTCACCAAGGAGTGCCAGCGACTGGCAGCCCAGGGAGCCCGACCTGAGGCCCCAAAACGGAAATGGGCAGAGGATGGTGGGGATGCCCCTTCACCAGGCAAGCGGCCCTGGGCCAGGCAAGAGAACCAGGAGGCAAAGGAGGAGGATGTCAGGGGTTGTGGCAGGGGTTGTGGCAGTGGCAGTGGCAATGGCAGCCGTGAGACAAATGCTAGGATGAGGGAAGAAGCCCTGCCCTCTACACCTGAACGCCTGGCTCTGGACTACATTGTGCCTTGCATGCGGTACTATGGCATCTGCGTCAAGGACAATTTCTTGGGGGCAACACTGGGAGGCCGTGTGCTGGCTGAGGTGGAGGCCCTGAAGTGGGGTGGGCGCCTGCGTGATGGGCAGCTAGTGAGCCAGCGGGCAATCCCACCGCGCAGCATTCGTGGGGACCAGATTGCCTGGGTGGAAGGCCATGAGCCGGGCTGTCGGAGCATCGGTGCCCTGATGTCCCATGTGGATGCTGTAATCCGCCACTGTGCTGGGCGGCTGGGCAGCTACGTCATCAATGGGCGCACCAAGGTAAGGCTAGTTGAGCCTTCTGTGGAGGAACTTGATAGCACTTTTGTTTGTTGAATGCCTAGCGCTGTGGCAATGAGTGGATTTGGACACGGACTTCTGGGGACCCCGTAGGTTTAGGCAGCTACAGCACAAAGGACATACTCACCTGTGGGGAAGACGCCGAGGGGAGGGGTCTCTGCCTTCCCTGTGGGGGCTTGATTTGTGCACTTACCAACCAGAGGTCTGACCTAGAGCCACATGGTTCTTGATATTCCAGGAATCCTCCTGGAGGACCCAATGAGAACTGCTGACACTCGCCGACTCGTACCTGTACTTGGGCCGTGTTGGGGTCCCTGGCCCTTAGTGTCTTACTGTGGGGCCACAGACTGAAAATAATCAGTGTAGACAGTCCCATGTTCCTGCCTCTAGCAGTCTCTGTCCTTATCCTTCCTTGTTGTCCTGTCCTCTCATCTGCCCTTTTGCTGGCCTATCTCGTCCATCCTGTCTCCCAGGTGGGAATACCTGAAGATGGAGCTGGAGGGTGGCAGTGGTAAGGTGAACCCTGGCCGAAGAGGGGGCACTGCCTGCCATTCTGACAGGCTACCCTGGGTTGCATTATGCCCTGTGAGCCTGCTGCATTGAGAACTCAGTGCCACTCTAATTCTGTAGATGGCATTGGGTGACTGCATGGTGGCCTCCTGTTACCATCTTTCCCAGCCCTTCCTGCCCTAGTTTCTCTCCTCCATCTCTGTCTTGTGTGTCACTTCATACTTGTCTGTCTCTGGTCTCCTCCCATGACTCTCTGTCCTTATGTGTCTTTTCTTGCTGTAGTATAGTAGTCCTCTCTTTTGGGAGTCTGAGCCTTTTTGAAAGTCTGCCAAAAGCTCCAGACCCTCCCTTAAGAAAAGTGCCCATTTGGTTGGAGTTTGTGGGCAGTTGTCAGGGCCTCATGGGCCTCTAGCTGCCCATTCAAGACCCAGGGGTCAGGATCCCTGTACAGACAATGGTCCATAGGCCTTTCTGGCCTGCTGACGTGATCATTCTCTCCCTGGAAGGGCATGAGGGCCCTGGCCTTGAGTTCAAGGCTTGGTGTTGTTTGGACAAGGTCTATGGGGAGTGCTCGCTACTCAGCACTGGCAAATCCTGGCTGATGGCGCTGACTGTGTTCTGCCCTGTGAGCGGGAGGCTGTGCTCCTTGCGTCTCCTCTCTCCCCTCATGTCCGTCCCTTCTTGGGTTCTTCCTCTGTGGCTTTCCTCTCAGGCTAGAGCTGGCTCAGGGTCCAGGGCTCCCCCGGGGCCCAGGCTTATTTCCTCCCCACCCCAGCTGGAACTTGTCCTACTTCCCTCTCCCTCCCGTTACTTGATAGCTGGAGAGCCAGATCGGCCCCTCCCTGGGCTTGGCTTCTGTGCAGGCCACATCAATGGGGCCTCCTGTCTCAGCAGCTTCACTCTGGTGTCAGCCCTTGGAGGAGGGAAGTCCAGGAGAGCCGAGTGGCCTAGGGTGGGACACTGCTCCAAGCCCCAGTTTACTCAATAGGAAAATCAGGCTAGTCCCCAGGTAGTTTGGGGAAGAAGGTTTGAGGGAACAGGTTGTTTCTCTTTGCCTCTGGAACCCATCTGGATGTGCTTGGGGACAGGACCTCAGCTAGGATTAGGGGGGAGGAAGTTGTTGGACTTTTTAAAGGTTTGGGTGACCCTTATTCCTGTGGAGGTAAGAATAGGCCAAGCTGGTGGGGAAGGAAGGGGAGGAGCCAGCCCAGTGCCTCCAAAGGACCATGTCTGGGCTCCTTTCCCTAGGCTCTGGAGTGAGACTGTGGGGTCCTGAGGTGGGTGGCAATGGGAGCATAGATCACCAGTGTGGCTACAGCCAGTAGTAACCTGTTCCTCTGTCATTCCTGAGTAGAATTCCTCTGTCCTATCTTGCCTTCTCTCCTTGGTCCCACTGCTCGGTTGACCTGCAGCTGGGAGAGAGTTGGCTCCTGCTGGCATCACAGGCTACCCAAGGAGACCCTAGGGAAGGTCTAGCTGGCCCCTATTTGCCTATTTAAGAGCAGCTTGGACATGAGACCTGCTGTCATTAGCTGGGTTCGTTGCTTTGGACTTTGTGCGCATGCATGTGTGTGTGTATCTCTGTGTGTCTGTCTGGTGGTGGTAGGGTTCTTGTCATCAGTAGTCTTTTAACTTTTAGTGTCCTGGCTGAGTTTATACCTGCTTGTTCCCTGAGATGGAAGAGCAAGTTTCCTCACCACCACTATGTTGTCCTTGTGGGCAAGGCTTTTCCTCTTGAGAGTAGGATTCAGGGGAGTGCTCCCAGTCAGCAGAACGAGCACTAGGCACCCGGGAGGCAGGCCTGGCCCCAGAGGCCTAATGGGGCTGCTTTTCAGATCAGTACTAGGTAAACAGGAACCTGTGCTGCCTTCACGTTGACAGGAGTGGAATGGACAGTCAGCTAGAGTACTTCAGGTGACTCTCAATCCAGGTCTTGAATAGCCAGGACCACCAGGGGAAGAGTGCTCCAGTCAGGTGCTATACAGGCTTTGTGATGGGGATGAGGTAGATCTGTTGAGGCTTGGGGCAGATAACGGGGATGACACACAGTTTCGTGGCTGTGGAGGTCACAATTGGGAATTTGTTTTTTCTCAGAATACGGTGGAGAGCTGGGGGAAAGGGTCTCTGACTGCTGTGTGGGGAAGAGGGTATGCTCTGTCCTCCCCCATCCATCCATGTGCAGAACCAGCATGATCTCTGGTTGGATTCCCAAATGGGCAGGCCTTGTCCATCTCTATTCAGTGACTCACTGATTCCAAGCCACCAGGCCATGGCCACAGCCATGTTCTTTCTTGCCAGTGAATGGTCACTCATAGTGTCATACTATCTGCAGGGAGTAAGCAGCACAAAAAGGATTCTCCCCAGGGGCCAGGGTTTTCCTGGGGGCCTCTTTTCACTGTGGTACCCCGGTGCTGCCAGAGAGAAGATTGGTTCTCCACTGCTGGGGAGAGGTGGTGGTAGCCCTCCTGGCCTCTTTCCCAGGGCAGCATTTGTGCTGGATCAGGTGCACATGTTTGATAAGAGAGTTTAACATCCACACATATTCCAGATGAGCCCTGGGAATATTTGAGAAGGGGTCCTGGGAGGAAGAAGTGGGATTGAGTTGAACTGGCCTGTTACGGAGTGCTTGGCAAACCTGTTTTGGCAGCAGATGCTGATCTGTTTGATTATGAGTGTTTATCTCAGGGTTGTCCTTCCGGGTGAGGCCTGTAGGTGTAGCTGAGCATTGGTGGGGTGCCCTAGCCAGCAGAGTTGTATCTGGGTGGTGGGGTCAAGACAGATGGTGCTGACCTGGAAGAAGCTGAAGGGTCTTGTTTTAGCTAGTTCTCCCATTTGCTTAAAACCTCCTCCAACTCTCCCAGTGGAATGGGTTTGGGGAGAAGGGGGGGGTAGGGACTTTTTTTTTTTTAAGTGGCATTTCACTCTGTACTCTTTAGTTCTTCCATCATGTGGCCACAGGTGCTGAGTGTCTTCCTAGACATTGGTTATCTTATTCCATTCCCACAACAACCTGTGAAGTCAGCTTCATTCCCAGGCTGTTTAACCTTAGGCAGAGAAGCTAAGTTACCTTCCTGAAGTCCCAGCCTGTGTGGCAGCACTGAGACTTGAACATGGGAATTGGGTCTGCAGCAGTAGTATGACCCTTTCCTTTATATCACACCTACCTCTTAGCTCCCTAGTGACAAAGATCCCAGGATACTGGCTACAGATGGTGAGGCCTCGGCAAGGGGACTAGTAGCCATCAGGCAGAGGAAGCAAGAACTCTGTAGCTAGACCAGTGCCCTCAGTAGCCAAGACCCAAGGGCGAGTCTTGTTAGATCTGTGGTCTAGAATTTGCAAAGTTCTGTGTTCGGAGAGATTAATTGTGTTGCTGGAAACAAGGTGTTGATTAACTCCATTTTACAGTTGTACTTGAGGCCCATTCAGATGGTGGGACTCTCCAGGGTCACTTAGCAAATTTGGAATTGGAATTAGGTCTCATTTTTCTTGAGGTTCAAGGTTTTCGTTCCTGTTCAGATATATGAAACGGATCACTTTAGCCAAATTCTTTGTAGTCAAGGGCAGTGGTTCTCAGTGTTGCTGTATGTTAGAATTACCCCCAGGAACTTTTAAAATTGCAGGCCCCATCTTAGACCAAACCATCAAAACTTCTGAAATTAGGGCAACCTGGGCCTCTGTGTCTCAAGGCCTCTGAGGAGATAGCACTTCACAGCAAAGGGTGAGATGCCGTGGCCTAGCGCTGTGAGACTGTGTTTGGGCCCATTTAAAAATGATTAAATTGGTTTTTGCTATATTGAAATGTCTGAGGTAGGGTTAGAATATCTTTAAGAAATTATACCATATTTATTTACTGGACTCCATCTGGGTACCACGTCCTGGGTGTGTGTGTGGTGGGGGAACTGAGGCTTTTGATGGACTTGGGAATGCAGTCTTGGTGGAAATAGAAGAAAGTCCTTGGAGCCCAGTACACTCAAGGAATCCAGGGGAAGATAAGGAGCAGGAATGGCGTGAACAAGGCTGTTTCCCAAGATGTCCTTGCCTAGTCTCAGTAAACCACCTCCCTCCATCTCTGCCAGGCCATGGTGGCGTGTTACCCAGGCAACGGGCTAGGGTACGTGAGGCACGTTGACAATCCCCACGGCGATGGGCGCTGCATCACCTGTATCTATTACCTGAACCAGAACTGGGATGTTAAGGTAGGATGTGGGGGTGGGACTTGCTTTCCACTCTGTTCCACTCCCAGCTCAGATTGTAGCCTTCTATTCCTCTTCTCAGCCTACAGGGGGGGTGGTACAATCTGTGGGCTCTTCCTGGGAAATAGCACCTCCTTCCCTAGCTAACAGTGTGGTGGGAACTCCCCCCCTTTCCGGGAATGGTGCTGTCTGCCCAGCCCCACCCAACCTTGTAGTGAGCTCTCTCCCCCTTTTCCTGTCTTTAGTAGCTTCCTGCCCATCTCCATGGTGATGCAGACTCTGGGCTGTCATTCTTTTTAAGAGCCTGAGTGGTGGGAGTGATAATGTGCTGGCACTACGCCCCCTTGTGGGCACCTGGGTGCAGTGCAAAGCAGAGGCTCCAACTTAGATGAGCCAGCCTGGTCCTCTCCTCCCCCAGGTGCATGGTGGCCTGCTGCAGATCTTTCCTGAGGGTAGGCCTGTGGTAGCCAACATCGAGCCTCTCTTTGATCGGTTGCTCATTTTCTGGTCTGATCGACGGAACCCCCATGAGGTGAAACCAGCCTATGCCACCAGGTATGACTCTTACTTATGGGGATGTGCCTAGTGCTCCACCTGTACTCCCTTTGTGCCAGTCTTCACTGTCTCTCAGAGTGACCAGGGAGTGATGAATTGCCGAGAGAAGTCCTAGGTGGGAATAGAAGCAGGTGGCTCAAAAGGGTGGACTCCAGCGTCACTGGATATGGTGACTGAAATTGAAGAAAACTGATTTCAACTGTCCTGGTCCCCAGGTACGCCATCACTGTCTGGTATTTTGATGCCAAGGAGCGGGCAGCAGCCAAAGACAAGTATCAGCTAGGTATTTGCTTCCTCTTCCCTCATATCCTTCCTGTTCCCTATACCCCCTTGGCCTCAAGCTACCCATATGCCTTCTCAGTTTTTTGCTGCTGGTGGTGATGATGCTCGAGGTGGAACCTATGCTTGGTCACTGACCTGCATCCCCTGCCCCACTAATTTTGAGTCTTATTTATTTATTTATTTTAATTGTAGTTGGGCACAATACCTTTATTTATTTTTTTTAAAGAGAGAAATTTTTAATATTTTTTTTTAGTTTTCGGCGGACACAACATATTTGTTTGTATGTGGTGCTGAGGATCGAACCCGGGCCGCACGCATGCCAGGCAAGCGCGCTACCTCTTGAGCCACATTCCCAGCCCACAATACCTTTATTTTAATTATTTCATATTTGGTGCTGAGGAGCAGACCCAGGGCCTCGCACGTGTTAGGCAAGCGCTGTACTGCTGAGCCACCACCCCAGCCCAATTTTGATTCTCTTAAATTTGAGTCCCAACACTCATTCTTCCTCATCTTTCCTTAGCTTGCTTTCCTGGTAACCCCAAAATGTGCCTTATTTCTTCCTGACCCTCTCCCTGTCTTCCAGGGTTTTCCTTGGCCTCTTTGACCCTTCCCTGATGCCTCACATTCTCTTGTCCCCCTGTCACCCTCAGCATCTGGACAGAAAGGTGTTCAAGTACCTGTATCACAGTCAACCACGCCCACCTAGTGGCCGGCCCTGGAGCTGCATGGACCGACAGCTCGCCCGACTTCAGGAGAGCCCGGGCCCCGCGGCAGCCCACAGTCTTAGTGCCTGCTCCTTCCCTGCCACTGCTGCTGCTTCTGGCTTGCCTCTGTCCTGCCGGGCATGGAGGACTCTGTGCATCGCTGAGGACCAAGAAGGAGGAGTGATCTCTGCTGCTCTTTGAGGAGAGCTGGGGTTATGACCTGGGCAGTGGCCAGTGTTGGGGGCTACCATTACTGAAGCGGAGACCTGTGTCCTGTCCTGTGTGGTCATTACCCTGCTGGGTGTAAGAGCTGGGAAGAGGCAGGATTTGGGGTTGAGGTGAGTCATGGCCTCTCGCTGGCAAAGGTTTGGGGAGGTATCCCCAAGTCCCCCATTCCTCCAGCCTGGAATGTGAAGTGACTCCCCAATCCCTTTGGTCATGGCACCTTTTGGACTGGGCTGCCACTGCTTGGGCAGGATAAGGTGCCAAGAGGAGCATGGGTATGGAAGTCCTGACAGCCAAGAAATAAATAAAAATTTACCTCAGAGCTGCAAATGTCTGACTCCCTCATAATGAGACCATCTCCATCTGTGATTTGGGCCCTTTATTGACCAAGGTGGGGAAAGAGATGTGAGGGCCAGTGAGGCCAGTGGGATGGAATCTGACTTCAGCGTGCCATCAGGTGGAGCTGGAAGGTTGGGGGGACGTTGCCCAGGCCAGTGCACTGTGGGGTGAGGTTGATGTTGCTGGGGCTCTCCACAGGGAGCAGGCAGAACCTCTGCAGGATGGCCGTAAGGAAGAGGAAGATCTCTGAGCGGGCAAGGCCTGCGCCCAGGCACATGCGCTTTCCTAGGGACATGGGTGCATGGTGAGCATCTCATGCTTCCTAGAGCCTGTCGAGGCTAGTCCCCTCTTGGCCCAGACCCACTCAGACCTGGAGCAAAAGGCATGAAGGCTTCATTGCTCTGGAACTCTCCCTTTTCATCCAGGAAATTGTTGGGGTTGAAACAGTCAGGGTCCTTGAATTGGGTGGAGTCCCGGTGGGCAGAAACAAGCAAGGGAATCACCACGGTGCCCTAGGAGGTTCACACAGCTCAGGTTACCAGCAGAATTAGCCACTGCCCTTGCCTCATCCTTTTGCACTCTGCCCCTACTGGGGACGGAACCTAGAGCCTCATGCATGTTAGGCACGTGTTCTACCACAGCTGTAAACGTCCCCAGTCCACAAAAGACCCTTTTATTTTTTAGAGATGGGGGGGGTCTCCCTGTGTTGCCAAGGCTGGCTTCAGATCCCACCTTAGCCTCCAGATTATCTGGGACTACAGGTACAGGTCACCATGCCTGTCCTAAGGCTGGTTCTAAAAACCCCATTGGGGAGCTGGATGTGGCTCTGTGGTAGAGCAATTGTCTGGTGTGCGAGAGCCCCTCACTTGTCTGGTGTGCGAGAGTCCCTGAGTTCAGTCCCAGCACCAACCCCATGAAAACAAGTATGTGGGAAAGCTTGTCTTTTTTTTTTTCTCCTGTTTTTTGGTGTGTCATTTGATACTACCCTCTGAAAACAGTCACTCCCACAATAGTCTAGGACAGGTGCTTACCCTGCCCAGTCCTGTACAGAAGCCCCAAGCTCTGAGCTCACCTTAGGCAGAAAGTGGCTCCGGAGGTGGGTGTCCTGTGTGATGGCGCGAGGCAGCCCCAGGGGCAGCACGCTAATGAAGCGCTGAATCTCGTGCAGCACTGCATTGGTGTAGGGTAGATGCACCCGGTCCTCCAGGCGGGGGGCACGGGCCCGACCTACCACGGCATCCAGCTCCGCCTGCACTTTGGCTGGACAGATGTTTGAGACACACTATCCAGACCCAGAGTCAACCCCCCTCCCAGCTTCTCATATTGGGTATCTACAGCTCACAGACCTGCCACCTCTGGGTACTTGAGCAGAATGAGGAGCCCATAGCGCAGGGTGGTGCTAGTGGTCTCCGTGCCACCAAAGAAAAGGTTGTGTGTGGTCATCACCAGGGTTTCCTCCTGGAAATGACTTTCTGGGTCCCGCTGTTCCTGTGGGCACAGATGAGTGCTGTCATGTGTCAGATATCTGCTGGTGGGCCCAGTGGATAGAGTTTAGGATAGCTGGGGCCAGCACCTTATCCATCTGATCAAGGAAGCAATCAATGAAGTCCCGAGGCTCCCCAAACTGTCTTGTCTCCTGATGCTGCTGGATTTGCTCAGAAATGAAGACTCGAAGCTCTTCAAAGTTTCGGAAGATTTGATGATGGGGGCCAGGAAGCCAGTCCAGGAGGGAGGGGAAAATGTTGTACATCTGGGGAGACAGGGCTCAATAGGGCTTTGGACAAGGCCGCTAGGCCTTCGTTTCCCTTGTGGGGAGATTGGACCAGGACTTTGATGTTAGTAGGTTTCTAGAACTCTTCCAAGAATCTAAGACTCCCATTCTAATGATCCATTGTAGGTAAGGCTATGTGCATACTCTCTCACCTCACCCCATCTGGAACTCATGATTCGAAAATTGTCATGGAAGAGCTCCAGGAGCCTCAGGAACTCTGGATCCCCATAGCCATAGCGCTTTCCGAAGACAACGGAACAGATAACGTTGGATACAGCATTATCCAGTAGCTGGCGGGGGTCGAACGGGGTTCCTGGAGTTGGATGGGAAGAACCATGGGTAATAACTCTGGTGCAGCCACCAGCTAGCTCCTTGGGCCTACAGGAGCTCCTTGAACTTGCTCTACCCAAACCTTTTCTTAGCCTTCTTGGCAGTCCATTGGCCACCCCCATTCCCAGGCCCTTCTCCTTTTCCTGTCAGGCCCCACCAATGGTAGCTTGAAATTCTCCAAGCAGACAAGCTGCCTCCTCCAGGATGTGCTCCTCGATGGATCGTGTACCCATCCCAAACTCCTTGAGCGCTCCAAGTGCAAAATTGCGCAGTGTTCGCCAGCGTGGTCCGTTGGAAAACACTATGCCTAAGGTGAAGACAGAAAAGGGGGAGTGGCTGGGCATGATGCAGTTTGTAATCCCAAAGACTCAGAAAACTGAGGCAGGAGGATCACAAGTTCGAGACCAGCCTGAGCAACTTATTGAGAACCTTATTCAAAATTTTAAAAAGGGATGGGGATGAAGCTCAGTGGTAGAGTGCCCCTTGCGTTCAATCTCCAGTACTACAAAAAAGGGGAGGTGGGGATGGTGGTGGTGGCCTCGCTCCATCTAGGACACGCCCTGTCACTAGTTACTAGGCCCCCTTTGGGGCCTCCAACTCGAGGATAATCCTACTTCCTCATAATACTTCATGGTTCCCCCACTCCTCCCTATATTGGAATCGAACCCAGAGCCTCATGTATTTGTCTTCCCGCCCTGGTCTCCCGAGTGCTGGGATTCCAGGCGAGCGTCGCAGCGCTGATTTAAAAAAAAAAAAATTATATATATATATATATATTTAATTTTATTTTTATGTGGTGCTGAGGATCAAATCCAGTGCCTCGCATGTGTGATGCAAACGCTGTGCCACTGAGCCACAACCCCAGCCCGCAGCGCGGATTTTTGTGGTGCTAGGTATGGAACCCAAGGCCTCACAGACCTAGAAGAGCGCTCTACACTGAGCGACACCGCCAGGTCTTGCTTTGATTCTGTATCAGACCACTCAGTTGTCAACCTTATGGGCCCTATTTACATATTGATCCCACCTGGACCTTGATCTGGATTTGCTCTTTAAAATTTTGACTCGTTGCCTCTTCTCTCCCATTGGCATGAGGAACCTAGATCGGGCCCCTGCTTGTGCCCCACCCTGTCTGCACTGTTTGGTTACCATCGTTCTCTATTGGCCCCCGCCCCAATTGCCCGGTTGCACCCTTTATCCACCCAAACTGGCTGGTCCAGGTCTTCTACCCCGTGGGCCTCACCGTTTCCGCGTGTGAAGCGTTGGAAGACCGGCATGGCTCCGCGGCCAGAGAAGGTATCCGCCTGTAGCACCAATGCATCCCGCAGCGCTGCATAGCCACACAGCACCACGGCAGGGCGCGGGCCCAGCCACACAGTGAACACTGGACCCCAGCTGCGGGAGAGCTGCGGGGAATCAGTGCTCAGCGAGACCTGCTCCAGGCTCCTGATCCTCCCCCTCCACCAAGACCCCATCTCTCTCCCTCAGACCCAGAAGTCCCCATTTCAGCCCCTCTTTCCGCGGGTCGAGGAGTTCAGCTCCCTAGCTCCACAACTTCCTCCTCCCTCGGATCCAAGAGTCCAGGTCCCCATCCCTTCAGCTGTCTTCATTCAGCCGACCAGGAGTTGTAACCCTCAATCCCACCTCCAAGAATCCAGAATTCTGTTTCACCACCCGCCGTCGGGCTACCTTCATGAGCGCACGGTCCAGGCCTCCGGACTCCAGCTGCAGCAAGTTCCCCAGCAATCCAAGCGGCCTGGGCCCGGGGGGTAAGCCCCTCCCTATTTGAACTCTGCGGATGCCCCAACCCCACCAGGCCAGCGCCAGCACCAGGAGTGATAATAGCAACGTTGCGACTCCAGTGATCAGCATGCCTGAGACCTTTGCCGCCTGCACCTGCCTGAGATCCTTCGCTGCTATTAGGTTGACTCGCTATTAGGTTGATTGGCGGTGGGAGGGGCAAGTGTCTGCTGAGAGACAATCCCAGAAAAAACTGAATTAGGACGTGGGACAGGCTGTTCCAGAATGTGGCCCACCTTCCCACCCCTCCTGGTCTTGCCAGATCCAGCCTTCCTTCCTGGCATAGGGCCCAGACCTGGGTGGAGTAAAATGGGCAAGCCTGCAGAGGATGAGCCCTGGAGTGTTTTTTCTGGGATTGTCTCTCAGCAGCTGCTCTTTCTAAAGATTTTCCAATCCCCAGTCTCCACTCCACTCCCACCCCCAGCCCTAGCACTAGCTCTTCTGTGTCCTGGCTCCTGCTGATGTGTGTCTCTTTGACTTTTTTTTTTTTAATGTGGTGCTGGGGATTGAACCCGAGGCCTCCTGTATAGGAGGCAAGCACTTGCACAACTGAGCCACACCCCCGCTTCCCCATTTAATGTCAGTCTGCCATTCTCATTCAAAACAACTGACCAAGTGCACCCTCTTGAGCCCCTGTCACCTTTGGGTCCATCTTACTTGGCCTGTAGATGTGTACTCCTCAATCCCCTGACCACCTCTGGACCAGTGTCCCAAATGCTGTACACGGTACCTCTTGTGGCTAAATACACTCTTGAATCCAGAATATGTCTCTAAAACCATTCTTGGCCATGTGTCCATTGACCTGACACTCCTTTACCTTGTGCCTGTGATTTTCAAGGACTTACTCTTGAGCCTTTGTCACTTCCATAGCTCTTGGAACCCAGTATGTTGCACTGGTCTTCTTTGCATTTGACTCCTCCAACCTCATGGTGCCCATCAGCCTGGAACTTCTGTGCCTATCATTGTGACTTCTGGGTGCCTTTTCATATGTCGACCCCTTGGTACCCCTACCTATGTCCTGCTCAGAATTCCTGCCATCGTGACTCTCAAATGTCCTGTGACACTGCTGCTGTGCTCCTTGGTGTCCAGTCCCCCAAATCCCTCAGTAGACATCACTGTTTGAGGTCAGGCCATGACAGCAGGCAAACTGAACCTACATCTTCCCCTTTGCTTGGGCGGCACAGGCTGGAGGGGTCTGACTCCAGCCTGACGAGTCAGGGAGTCAGGGGTGGGAGTGGGGGTTGAATTAGGACTTGGGACAGGCTGTTCCAGAATATGGCCCACCTTCCCACCCCTCCTGGTCTTGCCAGATCCAGCCTTCCTGCCTGGCTCAGGGCCCAGACCTGGGTGGAGTTAAATGGGGGAAGTCTGCAGAGGCTGAGCCTGGAGTTTTTTCTGGGATTGTCTCTCAGCATCTCTATTTTTGTTTCATTTCTCAGTATCTCCCTCAGTCTGTCTGTTCCCCTGTTCATCTTTCACTCTTTCTGCCTCTGTCTCCCTCTCTGTCCCTGCTCGTCTCGTCTCTATGTCTGTGAGATCTCTCTCTTTCCAGTGTTTGTCTATGTCTCTCTCTGTAGCTCTCTGTCTCTACCTCTGCGGGGTCTTCCTACCTGGCAGGGGCTGAGGGGCAGGACCCCTTCTCAGAGGTGCTAACTCCATTAATGGCTGGGGTACATCTGCATGCAGTAAAGTCCATGATGGGTGCTCTGTGTTAGGGTCAGAGCCTTTTCTCTACCCTCCTGATTTTCTTCCAATTCTGTAGGGTTGCCCCTGGAATCCCAGCTCTTTAAGAGAGGGATTCCGTCTTGTTCACTTCTGTGCCCTAAAATAGTGCTCAGAACATACTAGGTGCCCAGGAAATGTGTTGAATGAACACGCCCTCTCTTAATTTCTGTTTTAGAATTTCTTGTCCTCCCTCTCCCTGGGTATCTGACTCTCTTTCTGCTCAGTGCCTCTCTTTGTCTTCCTCTCACTTTCTCTGTCTCACTCCCAGTCTTTGTTTTTCAGGGTTTTTCTCCATCTTTTCAGTAACTCTATGTGTTTCTCTTTGCTGGTTCTCCATCTGCGGGAGAGATCTGACTCTCTCCATCTTTCCCTGTGTTTTTGTTCCTGGTTGGGCCCTGGGGCAGACTCTATGGTTCACCTGTGTGGATTAAAGGGCTGATGTCACATGTGGGTCTATGATGTGTTCAGCACAACCTGTCTCAACTTCTGGATGACCTCTGATTGTAAGATTTTTCTTTTTTCCAGTAGTGGGGATTAAAACCAGGGCCCTGTACACACTAGGAAAGCACTCTCGCCTCTGAATGACTTTTGGGGAAATATCTAGGGCCTCCTAGATACTGTCTTCATCTGGCTCAATGCAGTTTGTGATGCAAGAAAAACTTTAATTCAGCTTAAATAGGTTTGACTATTATAAAGATAATTTTCTAGGAAATGATACAAAAAGCCCAGAAAAGGCACATCACAGAACAAGTTATTTGGGTCCAAGACATACAATTCCCATCCCTAATGTCTTTCTTTGTGTGCAGGTCGGTTTAAAATAAGAAAAGTGAGTTACTGGCAGGTAAGCAGGCCCAGGGTACAGGGAGGAGAATGTGGCAGCCAGACAGAGGGTGACAGAGAGTGAACAACACACCAACGGTGAAAGAAAACTGGCACAGGGCTGATCACACAGACACTCACCAAGGACAGAGGCAGAAGCAGATTTATTGTGGGGCCCCTGACAGGCTGCTTGGCGCAGAGAGAGAAAGAGCAGCAACAACTCCCTCTTGAGGATTACCTTTTATAGATCAGAATCATGGCCGCCCCTTAGGGGCCGGTTTAGCCCTTGCGACTGGCATAGCAAGCATCACCTGATTTTGCGGAAGGCAAGTTACTGTTTCTTGGGAACAGAGATGGGCAAGTATTTATCTCTCAAGGAGAGGACAGAGACCAGCAAGTCTTTATCTCTCAAGGAGACAATAGAGACCGGCAAGTTTCTATTCCTAGAGAATAAGAACAGTATTCATAAAGTCGGGGTGGGGAAAGGAAGATGGCTGTGGTTATGCCAACAAACGGAGCAACTCGTGGGCGCGGGCCTGGCGCTTACAGGCTAATCGTGAAGGGCCGAGGGCTCAGCGCTCCAGCAGGCGGAGCTGGAAAGGCCGTGGCAAATTACCCAGACCTGACCCCAATGGGGTCAGGTCGATGTCCTCGGGTTCCCCCAGCGGCTGCAACGAGAAGCTCTGGAGGATGGCGGTGAGGTAGAGGAAGAGCTCCATGCGTGCCAGCGATTCTCCGAGACACAGTCGGCGCCCTTGGGAAGGGTGGGGAAGGAGCAGTGAGATAAAGGGGGCGAGGGGCTGCGCCCCAAATTTTTTGAGGAAAACATGAGGACATGAAGATAATGACTGGGGACATCAAAGACCTATGCAGCTAAAAGTTTGGAAAGAATGCCTTGAGTAAACTTCAGAACAGAATGAGTCAGCCAATGCACGTGCAGCCTCCTGGGTTCAGATCCTGCTCTGTTAAGGCTGGTCTTGTGCTCTTGGAATGCCGCAATTTCTGGGTATTTGAAATGGGGACGATACTTGTAGCTTAGGAGGTTGTTGTGAATGGTAAGTATAGGTATAGCAGTGAGAACATAATGCTCAATGTAAATAAAACCAAAAGCAAGCAAACAAAAACCCTTAATGTAACTCTAACCATGTACCATGTGCTCTCCAAGCTTTATACTATTCTTAATTAACTTAATCCTCCCAACAACTCCAAGGGGTGGGTCTTAATATTATCTGCATTTTATAGAAGTGGAAATTGAGGGGCTGGGGATATAGCTTAGCAAGGTAGAGTGCTTGCCTTGCATGCACAAGGCCCTGGGTTCAATACCCAGCATCAAAAGAATAAAAAAAGGGAAACTTGAAAATTGAGGCACAGAAGTTCATAGCATAACCAAGGTCACACAGCTAGGAGGTGACTGGAGCTGGGGTGCAAACCCTGTGCAATCTGGCTGCAGAATTCAGTCATTACCCTTACAACTATTCTCAGAGGCAGCATCTGGCACACAGTAGGCACTGTGGTAATTTATCTATTATGACCCTCCTCCCGTTTTTCCTGTTACTGAGTAAAGGAGTGCCCCCCCCCCCCCCCCCCCGCCACCCCAAGCAGGGTAACGAAAAACTGGAACCATTTCAACCGCGCCACCTAGTGGAAAGTCTGACAAATGACCACTCCCAAATTAAATTAATAATCTCCCCACCTCCCGCAACAAAGGTTTTTAGTCATTATCTGCCTATAGATGCGGAGTGTTTTTGTTTTTTTTGTTTTTGGTGCTGGGGATTGAATCCAGGGCCTTGTGCATGTGAGGCAAGCACTCTACCAACTGAGCTATAGCCCCAGCCCCAGAAGCAGAGGTAAGGGAAGGAATAAGTGTGCCTGTGCAGCCAAGTCTGAGGATGGGGTGGATAAAGAAGTGAGAGGCTTTGGAGAGCTTAATTAGGACTAGGGTTTAAAAGACCGTGGCCCTCACCAGCTGAAAAGGGCATGAAGGCAGGGCTCTTCTTGAAAGACTGATTGGCATCTAGGAAATGCTCGGGATTGAATTCCTGGGGTTTCAGGAACTGGCTGGGGTCATAGTGCACCGTGTTAAGGAGGGTGATGATATCTGTGCCCTGTGTGGGGAAAGGAGAAAGCGGAGTTAGTGGTATAAAAGAGCTGGGAGGTTTCCAAATTAGAGGTCCTGGGGACTGGAAAAAGGGGTGGAAGAGGGCATAGGACCCCATCTGGGGTTTTCAGTGATGTCTGCTAGAGGCTGTGTTGCTGGGGTCTGAGAAAGGAACGAGCATCCCACCCTCCCTCGCCCTCCTTGTGAAAGCAGATGAGGGATTTCTGGGAAGGCAAGAGGTCTCAGAGGGCAGTATTTGGCTACAGGGGGGAACCTCAGGATGAAGCCCTATATTCTGGAGATTTTTTGGGGGACGGTTACCGGGGATTGAACTCAGGGGCACTCGGCCACTGAGCCACATCCCCAGCCTATTTTGTATTATATTTAGAGACAGGGTCTCACTGAGTTGCTTAGCGCCTCGCAGCTGCTAAGGCTGGCTTTGAACTCGCGATCCTCCTGCCTCAGCCTCCCAAACCGCTGGGATTACAGGCGTGTGCCACCGCGCCCGGCAATACTTGGGAGATTCTTGAGATGGGTCTTGTGGTAGGGAAGGGGTGTGAGGTTCAGGAAGGGGTCTTGTCCGCTATGATATGGGATGGGGGGGCCTGGGAAGGGGCTGAAGTTCTGGATTTATAATCTCAAATATCTGTTGCTAGGGCTCGTGATGCCAGTTGCTAAGGCTTGGGGAGTTCCCTGCCAGGGACTAAGGTACCCCTTGCTGGTTGCAAGAATGAGATGCTTCTTCCTAGGATGCCCATGGTCCTTTGCCAGGTGCCCAGCACACCTCAGGTATCAGGAAGCCGCGGAAGGCGGTGTCCCGAATGACGCGGTGCGGCAAGTTCATCGGGATGACATCTGCGAAACGCTGCACCTCGTGTATCACCGCATCTGTGTACGGCATGGCTGCGCGGTCCTCCAGGGTGGGCAGCCGGGAGCGTCCCACCACGCGGTCAATCTCCTCCTGCACGCGGGCTGGAGGTGGAGAAGGAAGATAGCTGAGGGTATCGGTAGGCGAGACTAAGCTGGGAACTGTCGCGAGTCGGCTCCAATCCTCCCATCGCGAGCCCCGCCCACTGCCGAGGGGCGTGTAAAGATCAGCCAGATCTTGGGGAGGTGGGGGGCAAAACTTTGGTTGGCGCAAGGGCTCCAGAGGGTGAAATTATGTGGTCAGGGCTTCAGGGATCTCAGTAGCTCAGGTCCCTGATGGGATTTCGGAAGAGGTGACAGGGACCTGGATGACTGATTGTTGGATCCAGTGGGCAAAGGGCTGGAGATCAGGGGCGGGGACACATCATCCAGAGGAGGGGCTTGAGGAGGTGGAACGGCGGAAGGTGCTGTGTGGGCAGGTCAGTCTGTGTAGGAGGGGTTGGGGTCTTGGGCAAATCAAGTGGCTGGAGCTTGGGGAGTGGCTCTGGGTGGGACTTCAAGGAAGAACTCTGGGGCTGGATGCGAGCGGTGCAGGCAGGGTCATGACTATGCGGGAGGGATCTGGAGGAGATTGGGCATGCTGTGTGGACCCTAAGGGGTATGTGGTTGGGGTCGAGCTATGTGTGAGTTTGGTTTTCCCACCTAGACTCTGACCGACCCTCTGGATCGGGCCGGTTGGCTCGACGGCGCGGTGTGGGCAGGTCTCAGGGCTAGGTAGCTGCGGGCGCACCTTGAATTTTGGGGTATTTCATGAGGGCGAGGAAGGCGTGGCGCAGCGTGGTGCCCACCGTCTCTGTGCCTCCGAAGATCAGGTTTTGTGTGGTCATCAACAGGGTGTCCATATGGAAGTGGCTCAGCGGGTTCTCTTTCTCCTACCAGGGTTGAGCGGTGGGGATATGAACCAGGACCAGATGCACATTGTGGACTCAAAGTCCGTGCGACCGTTCACCCCAGACTTGCGCAACTGATACTGAGTGCCAGTTCGGTCCCTCCTCTGTTTAACTTCCTTTCCTCAGGGGAGCTGGGGAGCGTGGAATGGTGGGGTAGGGAAAAATCTCTGCCGCAGGGCGGACAAATAACATTTTAGCACTTTAACAATCACTTCAAGGGCTGGGGATGTGGCTCAAGCGGTAGCGCGCTCGCCTGGCATGCGTGCGGCCCGGGTTCGATCCTCAGCACCACATACAAACAAAGATGTTGTGTCCGCCAAAAAAAAAAAAACCAAAACAAAACAAACAAAAAACAATCACTTCAAGAGCTGATAATTGGTGGTGGCTCTGGGCAACAACCCTGAGCAGCCAGATGCCCCAGCTTCTCCCGGAGAAAATCCCCCAGTCCTGCCCAATCTGGGATCCCTATTGAGTTTGAGACAGGAGCAGCAGGAGGCATTCAGGTCAGGCCAGAGGTGCAATTTCCAGACAGAGTTTACCTGTGCTATTTTGGTGAGGAAGCAATCTATGAAGTCCCGGGGAGAGTTGGGGTCTAGGGTGGCCTGGTGTTCGCGGACGCTGCAGGAGATGAGATCTCTCAGGTTCCCGAAGTTCTGGAAGATGCGTTGGTGCGGCCCAGGCACCCAGTCCAGGAGGCTCGGGAAGAGGTTGTACAGCTGGAGAGCGGGCAGAGTTGGAGGGGCTTGGAAGAGCAGGCAGGGTATGTGTTCGGGGCTAAGTAGGGTAAGGCAAGTGAATTCGATAGGCAAGGACGGGGCATTGGAGGACAATGGAGTTCTGGAGAGGCTGGAGGGGAGTGGGACGGAGGGGAGTGGGACGGAGGGGCAGGGGAAGGGGGCTGGGTGCCTTCTTGAATCATGTAACTCGGGGTAGGGGGCGGGCAGGGGTCAGAAGGAAAACGCATGACCAGTCAGGGCCTACTGACATCCCCAGGTACCCCTAGACCCTGTTGGCCACGCCCCCTCCTGCTCCCGCTGCCATCCTATCTCCCACAGGACTCAGTCTTGCTGACCTCGCCCCAGGGGCTGCTCATGATTTGAAAGTTGTCGTTGATGACGTGGATGATGGTGAGCAGACGCTCATCGTCGTAGTCAAAACGTTTGCCGAAGATCACCGAACAGATAATGTTGGACACCGAGCGACTCAGCATAAACAAGGGGTTGAAGGGCTCACCTGAGGTCGAGGGGTGGAATGGGTCAGGGGCCCAGCTCTGGGGACTCAAACGCACCAGACCATGGTGCAGCAGACACAGCTCTAATTTGCATAGCATCTGACCCAACCATGATACCGTCTTGCAGCCTAACACCTCAAGTACTTCATAACGCAACAGCTAGCATAGAACCCACAACATCCTGCAGTTCCGCATCCACTTCAATACTCAGTAACAGAACAGGCTATTCTCGGTGACAGTACACCACACACACAATACAACACAGTGCAATCATCAGGCATCACAGAAAACAGACACTGCCATAAAACACCCAGTAAATACAACCACAATACATGCCAACACACACAACTACACACAGCGATTTAGAAACCACACATAGCCCACTCAGAAACGTTCCAAGACATGGTAACAATATACTTAAACACATAATACCAGTTCACAGCTAAATCTTCCTTTGACACAATGCACAACAATAAAACACAGCAACCCAGCAGACAGTAGAGAACACAGGATGTGTCATCATAACACACATAACCAGGCAACCGAAGAGATGACACACCATGCACACCAACACAACATCTTTGGCAGCACAGCAGATAATACTGCAATACCACATATCAATCATGGCATGATAACACTACAATCTTATCCAGAAATAACCCAAAGAATCATACCTAACACCCCACAATCCAACAACCAGACTACAGAAAACATTATATAAGCAGCACATTTCAACAAAGCAGCCAAGACACAATAGGACAGGCCAGAAAACCAGGGCTGGGATTAGATAGACTTAGTTTGAAACTGGCTTCTTAGTCTTTATGTGACCTGGACTACTGATTCCTGTTTCTGAGCCTCAATTTTCATATCTATACAATGGGCTCAATGACAGCCCTCATGGGGTTGTTATAAGTTAGTGACTGGGAAGTCCTTAGTTAAGGTCTGGCCCATTATGAGGCTGTTACAAACTGTGGTGCTATGATGGATTGACTAATGACCACCTCAAAGATGTCCACATTCCTGTTCCTAGAATCTGTGAATAGAAATTTACTTTACTTGGAAAAAAAATACTTTTTTTTTGTATTGGGAATTGAATCCAGGGCAGTTGATTACTGAGCCAAATCCCAGCCCTTTTAATTTTGAGACAGAGCCTTGCTAAGTTGCAGAGGCTAACCTGACTCAGCCACCCAAGTCACTTGGATTACAGGTGTGCACCACTGTACCATAAATTAAGGATTTTTCAGCCATAAATTAAGGATTTTGAGATGAGAAGATGACTCTGGATTGCCCAGGTGGGCCCAATGTTATTATCAGGCTCCTTAGAAGAGGAAAGTAGGTGCATCTAAATAAATAAGGGTTATGTGATGAGAGAGAGACTGGAAGCTGCTACTACCTTTTATGGCTTTGAATATAGAGGAAGGTCCTAGTAATGCGGAAACTAGAAAAGGCCAGGACACGAATGCTATCCAAAACCTTCTCAAGGAGTGCAGCCCTGCTGACCCACTGTCTACTTCAGACCTACAGAAATATAAGAGAAATATAAGAGAATGAATGTATATTGTTTTAAGCCACTACATTTGTGGCAATTTGTTACTCGGCAATAAGAAATTAATATGGAGTTGGGCATGGGTGGCCCACCCAGTATTTCTAGCAACTCAGGAGGATCATGAGTTCAAAGCCACCCTCAGCAATTTAGTGAGTCCCTAAGCAACTTAGCAAGACCCTGTCTCTAAATAAAATATAAAAAAGGTCTGGGAATGTGACTCAGTGGTTAAGTGCCCCTGGGTCAAGCCCTGATACCAAAAAAAGAAGAGAGAAATTAATATGTCCTTAGCTAAAGTTCTAGCCTGGAGCAGGAGGAGAGAGGAGGACAAGACAGGGCAGAAGAGAAGGTAGACATGAGCAAAGCAGGATATATATGTGCACAGAAATGTCACAGTGGAACCCATCAAGATGTACAATGAGTGTGTTAATAATTATAATAAATTAATAAGGCAGCTATTGTGATTTCACTTACATTGTATCATTTAATTCCTTAACTATCACCTGCCACATTATTATTTTTGCCCAAAGCCGACTTGGAAATCAGGGTAGAGGGCTATTTAGCAATCTGTGCCTCAGTTTTATCTCCTGCAAAATGGGGCTGATTACAGGACCTGCTTCCTAAGCTTGACTGATTTTTTTTTTTTTGTACTGAGGATTGACCCTCGTAATATTTTACCTCTGAACTATATTCCCAGCCCTTTAAATTAAAAAAAAAGTTTTGGCACTAGGGATTGAACCCAGGGACACTTTATCACTGAGCTAAGTCCCTGGCCTTTTTTTTTTTTTTTTTTTTTTTTTTGGTATTTTTTATTTTCAGGGAGGTTCTTACTAAATTGCTTAGGTCCTTGATAAAGTTGCTGAGGCTGGCCTTGAACTTGTGATTCTCTTGGCTCAGCCTCCCAAGTCTCTGGGGATACAGGTGTGCAACACTGCATTTGGCTTTTAAAAAGTTTTGAGACAGAGCCTCACTGGATTGTGCAGGCTGGTCTTGAACTTGAAATCCTCCTGTCTCAGCCTCCCTCTCAAGAAACTGGGATTACATTTGTGAACATTGCACTTGGCCCCTTGACTGATTTTTCAAAGAGATATTCAAAGTTCTTGCAAAAGTCCTGGCATATGGTGGGCATTGTGTAAGTGTTGGTTATTTATGTTATTTTATTTATTTATGTATCTTTTTGTGGTGCCGGGATGGAACCCAGGGCATGCTTGACAAGTGTGCTATAGCATCTCCAGATCTCTTTTTTTTTTTTTTTTTTTTTTTTTTTGTAACTTTGTTTCATAGGTCAGAGGCCTCAGCCTGGGTTTCTATCCCAACTCACTCTCTGGGCATGTGACTTAACCTTTCTGGGCCTCTTCTTCTTCACTTGGAATAACACTGATTTTGTATGGTTGCTGGTGGGTGAAGCACAGAAAGAGTTATCACAATGCTTGGTATCCAGTAAGCATTCAATAAATGACATTAGTTTATTGAAAATGGACTCAAGTGTCAGACAGATTTAAATCCTGACTCCTCGGCTTACTAGCTTGATTACTCCAAGGTATTTGCTTAACTGCTCTGTGCCTCTATTTCCTCATGTGCAAAATGGATTGTTCTAAAGCTTACGGGGATCATGTGTGAAAATGTGCTAGCATACAGCTCTGTAGGTGAGTTCTTAAGGATGTCATCATCAGCTGGGTGTGGTGGTACACTCCCAGCAGCTCAGGAAGCTGAGGAAGGGGAATTGCATTCAAACCAGCCTCAGCAAAAGTGAGGCATAAAGCAACTCAGTGAGACCCTGTCTTTAAATTACATAAAATACAAAAAAGGGCTGGGGATGTGGCTCAGTGGCCTGAGTTCAATCCATGGTACCCACCTCCCCCCAAAAAGAATGTCATCATCATCGTCGATCATCGTCGTCTACCAGGATTATACAAACCGGGCTCAGGAATACCACCATACCTAGAGGAACACAGAGCCACAAGCAGACCCACCTCCAGTGGACACCATGCTCATTGTGGGCCAAGTGAAGGAGCTCTGGGTTCACATCATGCTCTGGTACCTGGCAGCCCTGCCCACCCGTGATGGATGGGAACTGGGAGTGCAGACTGCATTCAGGGACCCTGACCTTCAGTTTTCCGCAGTTCCTCCAGCAGAAAGCCGCCTTCCTCCAGGATCCGCTCCTCAATGCTCCTCTTACCCATCCCGAAGTTCCGCAGAATCTGGACAGAGAACCTTCTCAGGACCTTCCATCGTTCGCCATTGGAGAAGGCAATGCCTGGGAAGAAGAGGAAGGGCCAGCTCCACTGGTAACTCATCTCCAAGATGACTGTCGGCGGACCCCTTCCTGATGTTTGGAATTTCCCCAGCCCCTTCCAGCCAGCCCTGCCTGACCCTTCAGGCTGGGTCAGGTGCCTCCCTTGAACTTCCATGGGCTCTGGGCTTGCCTCTCCATGGTCCTGATCTCTCTACCTTTGTTTCCCTCTTTAAAGGATCTGGTCCCTTTGGGGGACCAGTGACAGCACTGTCTGTTGATGAGGTCATCTTCTTCATTGAACTGGGAGGGAAGGATGAGGGCCCGTGTTAGTCACCAGCATGACCTTGACATTGCCCAGTGCAGATCCTGTTACATGGGTAGTGCTGGGATTGCTCATTGAATGTGCAAATACGAGAGTTAAGCAAGAACAGTGAACCTTAGGGCACCAAGAACATCGCAGAATGAGCCTGAACTCTGGGTCCCTGCCCTGTTCTTGTAAGTCCTCTGGTCTTCCTAGAACACTCTACCCCTGGTCTTCTTCTGACTCTTCATCTTCATTGTTCAGATCTCAGGTTTGGGTTCCCTTCCTCCAGGAAGCCTTCCCTGGCTCCTCTCTCACTGGTGAAGTCAGGTACTTACTTCCGGCCTCCCCAGCTCCCAGGCTGCTCTGATCCCTGCCCTGAGCACTCTGGGATGTCATAGTCTAGAGATGGCCTGTGTTGCCTACTGATCTGGAAGCTGCAAGAGGATAAGGACTTGGATTTTTTTTCCCTTTTATCTCTGATTTCTCTTACATACCAGAGATCTACATGTAAAGAAGAAAGAGAGAGGGGCTGGGGCTGGGGCTCAGTGGTAGCCCTCTTGCCCCGCATGAGTGAGGCACTGGGTTTGGTCCTCAGCACCACATAAAAATAAATAAATAAATAAATCAAATCAAGGTATTGTGTCCTTGAATTTCACTTACAGTGTATTATTTAATTCTTTAATTATCACCTGCCACATTATTATTATTTTTACCCAAAGCCAGTAAGACTTGGAAATCAGAGTAGAGGGTTATTTAGCATTCTGTTTTTTGGTTTTCTCTCCTGCAAATGGGGCTGATTAAAAAAAAATACACACTTTTTTTTAAAAAGGTCTATCAAAAACTAAAAAAAATTTAAAAAGGAGAGAGAGAAACCCTATAGTATATTTCTTTGCATTGTATTCATTGTCTCATTGATTCTTTGTAACAATCTTTTCTTTGAAGCCGACTGAGGGTCAGAGAAGGGAGGCCATTTGTCCAAGGCTTGAACTCACCTAGTAAGTAGCAGAACCCTGCTGTCCTGTTCTGTGCTGTGTATTGTCTGATTGCTTGTTGGCTATTTTTTAGTAACAAATGGTGTATGCATTCAGAAGTTTTCTGTACAGAAGCAGTAAGATGACTTTCTCAAGTGCCCTGTCTGCCACCTCCTTGCATCTGGTGTACCTTGACAGGTGAATTTATAAGATCAAGCCCAGGCTGGGTGCAGTGGTGCACACCTGGAATCCCAGTGGCTCAGGAGGCTAAGGCAGGAGAACTGCAGGTTTAAAGCCAGCCTCTGCAACTTAAGGAGGCTCTAAGCAACTTAGTGAGAACTTGTGTCAAAAGAAAAAATAAAAAGGGCTGGGGTTGTGGTTCAGTGGTTAACCTGGGTTCAATCCCTGGTTTAAAAAAAAAAATCAAGCCCAGGGAAGGGGAATGAAGAGTAGAAAGTGTATTTAATACATGGTAGTTGAACTTTATCAGAGCTCTCTGATTCCAAGTTTGGGTCATCTGGGATTCATCCTGTGCAGGGGGAGCTTTAGGCATTCTTTAGGGGGAGTGTAGTAGAGGATGCAAGCCTCCAGGACCCCTTCTCAATTGGAGAAGCTTCCCCCCTCAATTATAGTGCCTTGTCACATAGTTTCCTTTTTTGGGGGTGGTAACAGGGGCACTCTACCACTGAGCCACATCCCCAGCCCTATTTTATATTTTATTTAGAGACAGGGTCTCACTGAGTTGTTCAGGGCCTCTTTAAATTGCTGAGGCTGGCTTTGAACTCATGATTCTCCTGCTAAACTGCTGGGATTACAGGTATGCACCACTGAGCCTGGCTAGTTTCCTTAAAAAAAAAAAAAATTTTTTTTTCCTTACTGTTTTTGGTTCTGGGGATTGAATCTGGGGGTGGTTAACCACTGAGCAACATCCCCAACCCTTTTTGTTTTTTATTTTAAGACAAGATCTTGCAAAGTTGCTTGGGGCCTCACTAAGTTGCTGAGGCTGGCTTTGAACTTTCGATCTTCCTGTCTCAGCCTCCCTAGTTACTAGGATTATAGGTTGTATCACCATGCCCAGCACATAGAGATTTTTGTTTAAAAAGGAGATTGAAAACCATAAACATAGGTGATTTCAAAGCCTAAGGAGGGCAGAATATTGTCACAGGAGAGGTTTGGAGAAAATGGTGTAGGTTGCTGGTTGGGTGGGGACAGAGCTGGGCATGGGTTGGAATGAAGGTGACAATGGTATATGAGGGGAGATTATGAGACTGATGATAAATTAGGTTTGAGGCTGGTGATGGAGATGGAGTTGGGGGAAATGAGAAGGACCAGTAGATTAGTCATGAGTTAGAGCTTGGGGTCAGGTAGATCTGTGACGGGGTTGGTTTTGGTGAAGGTAGAGGGATGAAGGTTAAGAATGGAGACTGGGGATGGGGTTAATGGGGATTGGGACTGGGATAAATTGGATCCTGGAGACTGGGCCCAGATGACTTGGCTGCTTGACTGAGTTGGAAACTAGGTGATGTGGTTTGAATAGAGGTAGGGATTTGGATGAGAATGGGGTTGGGTTAGATGAACATGGGCACTGGTATGGAGATATAATTCAAGATGGTGGAGGGATTTGGAGGTGGGGAAGGTGGGACAAACTTCACCCTAAAGAAGGACTGTCTGGCTCCATCCTACTTGGTGTCATCAGTGAGATCCGTGACCCTGAGTGTCACCAAGATTAGGATCAGAGTCGTGCACTCTTATTTCTTCCCTAAATGTGGAAGAGGTGGGAGGAGAGGAGGAGATGGGAAGCAGGCTTACCATTGCCCTTAGTGAAGTTGAAAAAAACAGGGTATTTGCCTCGGCCGCTGAACTCCTCCCCTTGATCCACAAGGGCTTCCTTCACAGCTTCGTACCCGCTGAGGACTACCACCCGCCTGGGCCCCAGGTACACTGTGTATACGGAGCCATACTTCTTGCTCAGCTGGGGCAGAAAGCAGAGGTTATGGGAGGCTCTAGGGCCATGGAACCCCCTCAGCCCATGGCAGGCCTCTGCACCTTGGTGAGGGAGGTCAGCAAGTCTTGGGAGCGAAGCTGCAGCAGGTTTCCCAGGAGCGGGAGGGGTCTGGGTCCTGGGGGCAGTTTCCCTTTGCCTCTTGAGCTGTGCGTCAGGAAGAGGCAGATGAGAGCCAGGAGCAGGAGCAGGATGGCTGTGCTCATACTGTCCATGGTGAAGGCAGCCACGGATGTCCGGAGGGCAGAGCTAGGGAGAGAGTAGGGTCCCTTCACTCTTCATCTCCTTCTGGAATTTTCCTCCCCCAGGTCCTGGAAATGGGGGCAGGTAGAGAAAAGACAGGAAGAAGAAAGAGAGCTAGGGAGAGATGGAGGGATGAAGACGAAGGAGAAAGAAAGGGGATGAAGATGGGCATGGAGACACAAAATCTATAGACAGACGACAGACAATAGACAACAGATGGCAAGAGAGACAGAGACAGAGACAAGAGATATAGAGACAGAGACCAAGAGAGATACCGAGAGATACACACAGGTAGTGAGGGACACAGAAAAACACAGAGTAATATCTTTATATCCTTAGATGTCTATCTATCATCTATCTATTTATCAATCATCTATCTGTCAAGATTCTCTCACAGGAGACAGTGCTAATGATAGAGACACACAGAGACACAAATCAAGACACAGAGTCAGGCAGAGAGAACATCACAGACAGGGGCTGACGCAGACTAGAGAAAGAGGCAGAACTGGAGAGGCACAGAGAGACTGAGGTGAAAAGACAGAGTTGTGCACTCACCGGCTGACACAGGTGGAGGCCACAGGATAGAAACAGGAGGGAGGGAGGGGGCACTCAGAAGAGAGAGCAACAAGCACAGGAACACGTGCACACACACACCCGTGGACTCCCTAGAGGCTCCCAGTGTCGCCTACTCAGGGCCCTTTACCTGTTGTGGGACAGCTGAAGTGTGTTCTTGAGCTCTGAGTGTGCTTGGAGAAGCTGCTCTTAAGTTGCCTCTGTGCACACCCCTCCTTCGCTCCACCCCCTTCCCTGGTCCTCTGGGTGAGGTGGACCTTCCCATCTTTCCACCTTCCCACCTTCTCACTCTACCCTTCACGTGGCCTCTGGGCTCCCGGCCAGTGGGTGGGGGCTGCACCTTGGGAACCCTCCTCCTCCTGCAGGGGCCTCTGGCCTCAGGCTGACCTCAGCTTCCCTCATTGTGGCCTGTGGTGGTTGTTTGCCCTGGAATGGAGCAAAGGTTCCCTTCTAGGGCCAGGAGGGGTGGGGTGAGGTTGCGGGGCTTTGGCAAAATGATGGGTCTGAGTCCCTCTGGTGTTTTGGGTGCTTGGTTCTGTTTCTCTGGGTTCAAGTCCAACCCTGGCACTGACTGGTCATGAGATACTGGGCAAACACCTTACCTTCTCTGGAGTTTTCTCAGGTCTGGGGTGGGGTCTGTTTTTTATGGCTGTCTTTTTTCCCCCCCAGTTCTCCATCTCTTAGGTTTTATCTCTGAGATTGTGTATGTCTCACTTTGCCGTTGTCTCTAAGATCTCTGCCACCGTGTCTTTTTGTCTCAGTGTCTCTGTCTCTATTCCCTCTCCCTGTGTGCCTCTGGGTCCCTGTCTTCCCTTCTTTCTTTCTAACCTCATCTCTTTCTCAATGAGTAAGTCCCTCTCCCATCTCTCCTGTGGTGTCTCTCTCATGCTTCCGTGACTCAGACTGCAGCCAGGGTGACTGAAGCCAGGATGGAGTTGAAGGACAGTTAGAGGGACAGGCAGCCGGAAGCTACGGGGAGGAAGGCCTCAGACTTGAATGACTGGCCTCCCCCTTCTCTCCTCCAAGTTCATATACTGTCTTCCTGCCCTTCTCAGCTCCCCTCAGCCATGTCTATTCTTGGCTTCTGTCTTAGAAACTGGTCCTCGTTACCCAACTTCTGTTCATGTCAGAAGGGCAGATTGTCAAAAGCAGAGCTGGGGTGGGGTGGGAGAAAGAGGCCAAGGGTCTGGGAGTCCTAGTGGAGGTGTGGCTCCCTGGGCCTCTGGGTGTGCACAGAATCTGCTGTTCCTATGGGGTGGGGGAGGAAGTGCTAGGAGGGCCTGGGGAATTTGACACCCTGGTCCCAGGCACATGGTGAGATGCTGTGTGGGCAATGCTATTGTTCAAGTCCAGGACAGGCCGGTTAGGGCAGGTTCTGGGAGAGGCATGAAGGCTTGGTTATGGAATTACACACCTTCAATTTCCCTTGGCATCACCTCTTACTTCTGAGAAGGGTACAGGGCTGGATCTATTCCAGCCCCACGAACAGCTTTTCCCTGACCCTGGAGCTGGGTTGAGAGGTGCCTAATGAAATTGCCTCATTGGGGAAACCAGGAACTCACCAGAAGGAGATTTTTTGGGGGCTTTCAGTTCTTGCTCCCCGCTACAGAGGGAATGGGGCCAAGGAGGAGTGTAATGCAGTTTCTCAACCATTGACATCTGGGGCCTAATAATTCAAGTGGGAGGCTGTGCCCTGCAGGGTCGTGTGTTGAGCACCATCCCTGGCTTCCACCACTAGGTTCCAGAAGCCCTTTCACCAACTCTCTCTCAAGCTGTGGCAACTAAAAATGGCTCTCGACATTACTGAATGTCCCTTTAGGGGAAAAAATTAACCCAGTTGAGAACCATTGTTATACTAGACCCAAACAAAGCAGACCCAAAGGTGGCTCTTTTTTTCCCCCAGAAGATTTTATCCATTTTAATTTTATTTTTGTGTTTATGAAGAGTACTTTATTTGGAAATACTTTTTTAAAAGTATATATTTTAGGTGTAGGTGGACACAAATCATTTATTTTATTTTTACATGGTGCTGAGGCTGGAACCCAGTGCGTAACATGTGCCAGGTGAGTGCTCCATCCTTGAGCTACCGCCCCACACTCTTTATTTTTTTTATTTTTTAAAGAGAGAGAGAGAGAGAGAGAGAGAGAGAGAGAGAGAGAGAGAGAGAGAGAGAGAATTTTTTAATATTTATTTGTTTTTAGTTTTCGGCACATCTTTGTTTGTATGTGGTGCTGAGGATCGAACCCGGGCTGCACGCATGCCAGGTGAGCGCGCTACCGCTTGAGCCACATCCCCAGCCCCCCACGCTCTTTATTTGGATCTTGATTCTAGAGGCTGGGAAGCCCAAGAACATGGCATTTGGCATCAGCTGATGAGGTTTCCCCCATATCTTTTTATTGGTGCATTATAATCATGCATTGTGGAGGTTGTTGTTATATATTCACACACGTGTGCAACATAAAGATATAATTGGGCCAAAATCGATTCCCAGTATTTTCCCTTTTCCTCTCCTTCTTCCTCTTACTGGTCCCCTTCCTCCATCCTTTGGGTCTCCCTCTTATTTTCGTGGGATCACCTCTTCACCTCCTACTGATTTTTTTCCCCCCTTTTCCTCTCTAGTTTCCAGATATGAGTGAAAACCTATGACCCTTGACTTTCTGAGTTTGGCTTAGTTTGCTTGACACAATTCACTAAAGTTTCATCCTTTTTCCAGCAAATAATATCATTTTATTCTTCTTCATGACAGAATAAAACTCCATTGTGCATATATTCCACATTTTCCTTAACCCATTCATCCATTGGTGGACACTTAGGCTGGTTCCATGTTTGACTATTGTGAATTGTGCTGCCATAAACCTGGGTATGCAGGTATCAGTATAGTATGTTGACGTCAATTCTTTTTTTTTTTTTTTTAAATTTTTTAGTTGTAGTTGAACACAATACCTTTATTTTATTAATTTATTTTTATGTGGTGCTGAGGATCAAACCCAGGGTCTCGCACGTGCAAGGCGAGCACTCTACTGCTGAGCCACGACCCCAGCCCTAATTCTTTTTTTAAAAATACTTTTTAGTTATACTTGGACACAATGTCTTCATTTTGTTTATTTTTATGTGGTGCTGAAGATCAAACCCAGGTGCCTCACATGTGCAAGGAAACACTCTGCACTGAGCCACAACCCAAGCCCGACTTTAATTTTTTATGATTATACTGAGGAGTGGTCTAGCTGGGTCATATGGCGTTTCCATTCCTAATCTTTTGAGGAGCCTCCATACTGACTTACACAGTGGTTGTACTAATTTATAATCCCACCAACAATGTAAAAGTGTTCCTCTTCTCCATATCCTCTACCGTATTTATTATTGTTTGTATTTTTTTTTTCAAATACCTTTATTTTACTTGTTTATTTTTGTCTGCGGTGCTGGAGATCAAACCCAGTACCCCATGTGTGCAAGCTCTCTATCACTGAGCCATAACCTCAGCCCTTATTGTTTGTATTCTTAATGGCTGCCATTCATCTGGAGTGAGATAAAATCTCACTATTATTTTGATTTGCTTTTTCCTAACTGCTAACTATGTTGAATATTTTTTCATAAATTTGTTGACCATTTGTATTTTTTCTTTTCTTTTTTTTTAAGAGAGAGAGAGAGAGAGAGAGAGAGGTTTTTTAGTATTTTTTTTTTTTTAGTTTTCAGTGGACACAACATCTTTGTTTGTATGTGGTGCTGAGGATCGAACCCGGGCCACACGCATGCCAGGCGAGCGCGCTACCTCTTGAGCCACATCCCCAGCCCCTGTATTTTTTCTTTGGAAAAATATCTGTTTGCTTCATTTTCCCATTTATTAATTGGATTATTTATTTTTGCTGTGCTGGCCTCCTACCAGCATGTGGGTGACATATGAGGCCTTCCTTCCAGTTTCCACCTTGACTGAGCCCCTCCCTGCTCAAACCCCACCCCACCAAACAGAGGACTTTCTTCCTTTGACTTTTCTTATGCTTTGTGTGGATGAATTATTGTCTGTGTATATTTTTTTGGAGGTAGAATGTACATAATGATGAAATACATAAATCTTAAGCAAACACTTCCTGAATTTTGAGTGCATATTTGTGTGTAGTTCAAATCCCTAGGAAGATAATAGAATTCTACAGGTTGACTGTGTCATCATTTTTTTTTTTTCATTTTACCTGTGAAAGGGATTTTTTTTTTTTTTTCCAGTTTTTGGCCCTAAGCTGCTCTGAACAGCCTTCTATAGATCCTTCTGAAATTGTGCATTTAGTTTTTTTGGGGTACAAAGTAGAATTATTGGATGACAGGTTATGTTTTAGACTTAGGAGGTCCTGAGTAGGGGTCTATCAGCTGCTCCTGCTTTCCTTCTATGGCTTCCTGGAAAAGCACCCCCTCACTGTGACTCCACCAGCTGCATGTTTTTATGGCAGCTCCAAGTTCAAGCTGGGGCTTTGAGCATTCCAAGACACTGATAAAATCTGGGCACTTAGCTTGTTGCCCAAACACTGACAGAATCTGGTTGAGGCTCTGAGCCAATTTGCTGAAACCGTCAGATAAACCCCACACACTGACCCCAAGGAGTCACATAGCTGTCAGAGTATGGAATACCTGAGGATATCTAAGGAGGACATCTTTCTCTTGCTGTCCTTGATGAGGGCATTGTAGCCCACTTTGTAAGTAAGTTCCCCTAACGCATACTTTGGATGGATCCCCTATCTTTGGAATCTTGACCACCTGTATTGGATGGTTTAGGGCACTGCCTGGTGGGAACACTCCTTGGCCCCTCTTCTGTGGTGACTCCATCAGCAGTTGGTGGGGGATGAGACAACTGATGTAGATGGCAGGATGCCAAAGAAAGGAACTGGGGAAAAGAGGAATGGGCCAGAGAGACCTGGGGAGGCTGCAGGGCCTATGTGGGGGCTCTGTGACCTGCATGCTAGGTGACTGCAGGCTGCCTGGGGAATGTGGAGGTGCTCCAAGCGCCACAGTAGGCTTGTCAGATGCTCATCTGGCGACTGAGAGAGAGGTGCTCAAGTTAAAGGGAGAATTAGTATTTCTTCTAAAAGAATTTTACCTGCAATGTTGGCTGTAGCTTTTTGGCATGGAAATCCTTCGATCGTGAAAAAACATACAAACCATTATCAAAATATATTTGTATCCTTGGGGGCTGGGGATGTGGCTCAAGCGGTAGCGCGCTCGCCTGGCATGCGTGCGGCCCGGGTTCGATCCTCAGCACCA